TGCATAAGATGAAACAAAAGATGGAGGATTAAATAGATAACATTGAGCAAATAATAACAAAAAATGAACAACTGATTCAGAAAATGGAAGAGAAAACAGAGCAAATAGATAAAAAAGAGGACAACATGGATCACAGGCTGATTAAGTAGATACGGATCATGAGTGATCTATAATTACGCTGGAGATGGATAGAGCTGAATATTTCCTGAGATTACAAAATATTGAGGAGGAAAAAGGAGACCTCACTGAAACAATGGCAGAACTGTTGGCAGATGCATTGGACAAGAGTAAACAGGAAGTCCTCTCTAAAATGGGTGAAATATTTAGAATATATATAATTTATGCTAGAAGGAATAAACTTCACAGAGAGGTACATGTGAGATTTACGAAGAAAGCAGTAAAAGCAGAAATACTTCAAAGAGCAAGAAACACATCATTGAAATACAAAGGGGGAAAAATAGCAGTTTTGAAACAAATACCCAGAAAAGTAAGAGATATATGGAAACAGTATCAATTTTGACAAGAGAACTAATAAAACATGATGTAAATTTTAAATGGCTAATAGCAGAGGGACACATTAAAAAACAATATAGTAAACTACTAGAATACCCCCAAATTGGAAAACTATATTTTTCATTAGTGCAGCAAAAGAAAGGGCTGGGTGGTTTTATATATTAAAGAAACAATAAATGCTAGACACATTTTTGCAGATGAAGATAGAAGAATATTGATGGAGGTAACAACGAACCAAAAACAGATATTGTTAATAGCGATATATGCTCCTAATAACAAACGAGATGAGTTTTATGGGAAACTTCATAAGAAAATTATAGAATTGGAATATGAAAATATTTGTATGGTAGGAGACTTTCAACACAATTGTAGATATAGAACTTAACTATAAGGGTAGTAAAAAAAGTTAGAAAAACACTTCCCAAATCTTTTTTTAAAATGACAGAAGAAATAGAAATTCATGATGTGTGGAGAGAAGCGCACCCCCCCAAAAATCAGTATTCATTCTATTCAAATAGGCATAAATAGATCTAGAATAGATCTGGCATGGATGTCTTTAGAATTGAAAATATATGTACAACAGATAGAAATAGAACCCAATATTTGGGCAGATCACACTCCGATAAAACTTGTATGGAAAGGACAAAAAAGAAAAATTGAGATGGACTTTGAACCAAGCAATATTGCAAGATAAAGAATTTATACAAAATATAGAAAAAGAACTGGACTGGTTTTTTTAAATGAGAACAGGAAAGAAGAGACTTCCTCGCAAACTGTATGGGATACTGCTAAAGCATATACCTGGGGACTAATTATAACTTACACGGGGAAGAAAAATAATAATAAGAAACAAAATAAGTCTAGATTAGAGGAAGAACACAAAAGATAGAATCAGAATTACAGAAAGAACCATGAAAAAAAGAAATTAAAAAAATCAAATAGATTTGATAGAACACAAAATGAATTTATTGGAAAAAGATGGAACTGGCACAAAAAATTAAAAATGCAAAACAATTTTTTTTTGAAAATGCAAATAAATCAGGAAGATGGTTGGCATATAAATTGAAAAAAGAGAGGTGGAAAAGATACATTGATTAATAGATCAGAAAGGGACCCTTTATTAGCAGAATGAGGATAAAAAATTATAAGAGTATTATGGGAAACTGTATGACCAGGAGAAAGTATCAGAAGATAAAATACAACAATATTTGGAACAATCTGAACTTCCGAAAGTACCTGAAACAGTTAAGAGTAGGGGTTTGAAACCTTTAACTCTCAAAGAGCCATTTGTACCGGTTTCCCACAGGAAAAAACACTGGGAGCCACAAAACTTGGGAGGGCGTGGCCAACTCAATGTCACTCACTGCCACCCAGCCACATGACCCCCTAGCCATGCCTACCCAGCCACAAAGCCCTTCTATGTCTCTCTCCCCCTCCCACTCTCTCTCACTCTCTTCTCTCTGTATCTCCCTCTCCCTCTCTGTATCTCTCTCTGTATGTGTCTCTCTCCCTCTTTTCCTCTCTCCCTCCTCTCCCCCTCTGTATCTCTCTCCCTCTCCCTATCTTCCCCTCTCTCTGTGTGTGTGTGTCTCTCTCACCCTCTAAGCCAATCCTAGGCCCAACCAACAAGCTCTCCTTGGGGCTCTTCACTACTCTTTTTATTTCTTCCTTTTGGAAATCTGGGCTGGCTGAGGAATGAGCACCAGCCATGGTGGAGGTTTCCCTTCAGGCGACCCTCCTCCTCCCTCTCCTTCTCCTCTCACAACCCCCGGCTGGCTGTGGTGGGGCTGGAAGGGTGCACACACACGGGGATACCCTTCTCAAGCAAGTGCCAGGCTCAGCCAAAGCGCAGTAAAGGTGCGTGTGGGGCAGTGGTCTCTTGCCTTGGGCAGAGGATTGGACTAGAAGACTTGTATGGTCTCTTTCAGCCTTATTATTCTATGATTCTGGATTTAAATGGGATGGACATTGCATGGTGGCCACAAATGCAGATACAATCTTGATATGAGAAAGATGCTAAAATGTATGGTTTTAATAAAGAATTACCAGAATTGGACCAGATACTAACTGGAATAGATGAAAAATTGATAAAAGAAAATATAGTTTAATACCCAATAAATAACAAAATATTTTCTTTATCAATTTTTCATCTGTTCCAGGAAACAATGATTATTTGGACTAAAATTTTTGGATATGCAATAGAACTAGATAAATGGCAGAAACTTTGGGATAGAAATGTTAAACTTACTATGTCAACTGTATTCAAAGAAAATCTGTATAAAATGTTTTATAGATGGCATTTTGCACCAAGATTAGTGAAAATGTATAAGGATAAATCTACTAAATGTTGGAATTATTTTATCAATGGCTAAACAATAAAAACAGAAGTTAGAAAGAAAGGGACATAAAAAGGATAAACGTTAAAATGGAAATTTGTTAAAACGGACGAACAAAATATTGTCATTACAGTATTAATGTTATTGTGATACATATTATTGTAAAACTCTGATTATGATTGCCTAAGAATAATTGTACCCAGACAAACAGTTTGATTGAAATGGAATTTGTATATATTATACCAATAAAACAAATAAAACTTTAAAAAAAAGAATTTATGAAATGGAATAGCCATAACAAGTCAGCCAATGGGAACCGTTTGGTGACTGAGACACAGGATTTGTTGTGAGACATGTCAGGCAGCTCGGAGCCTGGGCATGGCTTAGCTTAACTGTTCTGTTTGTTTGCCCTTACTCCTTGCTTCTAGTTCTAGTCCTTGCTTCTACTTCTTGTCTTCTTGTATTTGCTACTTCTTCTTCTACCATGTTGCAAGAGCTGCATGAGTGTTGTATACATACATGCATCATGTTTTATATTATTGTATATAAAGAAGTTTCTTCTATAAATAAATCCTGCTGAATTGTTTACTTGTGTGCTGGCTGGATAGCTACAAACTCTGACACTCTTGACCATTAGAGATGAGCTGGCCTCAAAAGGGACTAAACTATATGTCCTTAATAGTCTGTGGGTGCAGGTCCTACAAAGGAGCCATGATGCCAGGTAGGCAGGGCACTTTGGGTTCCTGAAAACCCTGCACCTGGTTAGGAGTCAGTTTGGTGGTCCCTGAGGTCCAAAAGGTTGGCGAACCCTGTATTAGATCAATAAGCTATATCCTTGATTCTCACAATACTTTACTGAAAAACTACACTGGCACAGAAGAAGTGACACCAGTTCTGAATTTCCTGCACAAACACAAGCTTACTTATTTCTCCCTTTGCCTCTGGGCCACCCACAACTGTGTCCACCAATCACTTCTGTTCATTTTGTTATGAAAAAACAGCTAGCCATGCTCAGTGTCCTTGGAAACTTCCAGAGATGCCTCAGTTGCCTAGATACCATTTCCCCACCTTTGCATTCCATTCCACCACTGCTTCCTTTTGTTGTGAACAGAGAAAATGTAGGTGAATCCATTATATATCCAGGTATGCATATACTAAAATATATTACTTAGTTAATAACATGTAATTATACTAAACCTCTAGTATCTCTGTTAACAATTATATAAGAAACATATCTAAAAAAAGATTTGACCCTTTTCCTATGCTAAATTAACTTTATGGGAAAACTAAATTTTAAAAATTGGGGAAAATATGATATGGAAACATTAGTCAGAACTGTCGATACTGACTTTGGATCAATTGATAAATGACGAAGATGAATTTCTAACACGTTAAGAGACAATTATCCTCTACCAGATGTAACCCAATGACAACATAGTTATAATATTTGTTAATAACATCGTTTGGACTAGCATTATTCTTAGATTCTGAGACAACTAAGATACTAGAACTTCTTAAATCTTTTGACACTATAAAAAGATTGATCTCTATACTTACTAATAAATTTATGGAAATTCTAAGAAATGAATGGAATAAAGAATTAAAGATTTCTATATTTCCATTTGAGACAGTTGAGTCATGTGATCTCAATTTCTATTTATTACCTCGGACAAAATTCTTGGGAATCCGTTCTTGATCAGGCAAAGCTGAGCTTTTCTTGTCCTAACTCTATTTGTGGAAGAAAGCCAAAATGCACCTTTAACTGCAGAATTTCTCTAAAACGATTTTTAAAGAACGATACAAAAATGATCAACTCCTGCGACCTTCCGAAGAATGCAAGATGTACAAACCAACTACAGTCGCTAGCCTCAATTTCCATTGAACTTGATGGGATTTAAGGAGCTCTCCTCAGGGATTCAATATAGAGCTCACGCGTACTTTTGGTGTCTTATACATATCAGCATCACTCAAGTGAGCGACGGGCAGTCGGCGCTAGATTCTGAGATTGACGTCACTCTGGGACGTGACGCCGGGAGAACACGCAAACAGCTTTTTCGAGCTTGTCGCGGAGAACTGCCTTTCTCTACACTAAAACAGGCCGCCTCAGGCTTGATTTTCACCCATGAAACCAAGAATTTGTAGAATTTTTACCTTTGTTTCTTCCTTGTGCTCGCTGGTTCCTTCCCCTGGAGGGCGCTATCCAAAGAAGTCACCTGAAGAATTACTCCCGACCCACTCCTGTTTATTCAACAGTCGCCTGTTATCAAAATGGCCAAAAATAGAAATCGAAGGGCGGCGCATGCTCAAAGCGCTAGTCTTTTTTTTTTTCTCCACTGCGCCGGACAAAGGGGGATGAGGACAATGGGGAAAGGATGTTGGGAGCTGTTGTGCTTCCTCTTACTAATAGAAATCTCTCCGAGAAAGGAATCTCTCGCCCAGGAAGAAGGAAGGTTGCCATTTAATGTCCTGATTTTTTCAGATACAATCGGGTAAACCTGGGCAAAAGGTAAGTATGGTGTAAGGCTGAAGATTTGGAATACAAAACTGATGGTAAGAAGCATCTTTCGGTAGCGAATTCTGGAATGGAAATTCTTTGTAAAGAGGCACAGCTGAACGAAACTAATGATTCAGTAAAGCAACCAGCCGTTCCTCTTTTTCTGCCTAATGTGTAGAGCACGAAACAGAAAAGCAGGCCATTTCTGTGGTGGATCCTGCACAGAGTAGCGGGGTTGGACTAGACCTCAATGTTTATTCCAACTTGATGATTCTACAGTATCTCTGCAGCTGCATAAATGTAGGGATTAAAACTACTCATACTAAAATCCAATTAATATTTGAATATAGAATTATGCCATCACCAAGCATACTAATTACAGGAAGTCCTCAATTTACAATAACAAGAACTAGAATTATCATTGCTAAGCAAGGCAATCAAGTGAATCACATTTGATTTTACAACCTTTTGGACACAGTTAAGTGAATCACCTACATGAATAACATGGCCATTAAGCAAATCAGGCTTCTGCTAATGGCTGCTGTGTCAGAAGCTAGCTGGAAAGGTCACAAATAGGGATCACATAACCCTGGAATTCTGCAACCAGTTGCAAAGTGCCCAAAGTTTGATCACATGACTGGGAATACTGTGATGATCATAAGTGCAAGGACCAGTTGTAAATTGGTTTGACTGCTGTACATGGTGTTTGAACAGTTGCTAAATAAATGGTTGTAAGTCAAGGACTATGTATACTACTAGAACACAGTCTGATATAAAGTTTTGACAGAATAAGGATGACTGGTTAGCAGTGCAAAATGTTGGTGTGTCACAAATAACTAGTCATTTAACCTCTTTTGTTATAATTTGTTAGAAACAGGAATTTTGGTTGTTAGTAATGAATTGTTACTGTCAAAAGAAAATTGGTATAATTATTCTGAAAATGAGGCACGTTCATAGAATTTAGATATGAATAAATTGACTGTTCCACAAATTGCTATTTAATACAGGTAGCCTTTGACCTAAGACCACAACTGAGCTCAAATTTTCTGTTGCTAAGTAAGACACTTGTTAAATGAATTGCATCCCACTTTACGACATTTTTTTGCCATAGTTGTTAAGTAACTCATTAGGTTGTTAAGCACATCTGGCATTGCTTGTCTGAAGCCAGCTGGGAAGGTTACAAATGATGATCATATGATCCCAGAATACTGCAACTGTTTTAAATACATACCAGTTACCAATGGGAATGCTGCAACCGTTATAAATGTAAAAGAAACTGTCAAAACTCACTTTTTCAGAGCTGTTCTAACTTTGAACAGTTAGTAAATGAATGGTTGTAAATTGAGGGCTACCTGTACTTGTTCGTTACTGAATACAATTTTATTCTCTAAAACTTTTTGATAGTAGAAATAAATCAGTAAATAATATCAGATTTAAAAATCAGAATAACCAGATTCGGTAGAAATTAAAGAAAAGAAATGCACTGCATTTAAACAGCTTTATTAACATCAGTGTGCAAAATATAGTATTCACATATATGCACCCTATGTTAGCTTTCTGTAGATTAGAAAACAGAGCAGGATGAATGAACTTTAGTAGAACCTATACTATCTATGCCAGAGGCTCATTGTTTTCTGAAGCCAATTGTTTCTATACTGTTTTTAAAATACAGTTGCTACTTATATAAACGAATACAATATAACTGTTAGAAATAGAATGGGTTCAAATGCCACATGATTAAAAAGTTGATGTAAAAAGTATGAGGCCCCTTTTGAATTTTTTGAATTGCAGATTTGAAAAGGTATAGTTAAACATTCCTTTCTCTAGGATATATCCATACAGAACTAAATAAAAATGCAAGAAGAGTATTCTGTACACTTCTAATAGGAAAAACCTTCTATGCTAAATTTCTCCCACAGCAATGATTCTGAATGGGCCAATTCAAGATTTGATTGATTTGATCTGAATAATTGGACTTGTACCCCACTGCAATCAAACATTTATTTTTGGATATACCATGCTTCTCATAAAATAAGGCTGGGTCTTATTTTTTTTTTGAGCCCTGAAAAATGGCTAGGATGTCTTTTCAGGGGTGACTTAATTTCCTCCCCCACACGCACCCCACCCTAGAGTGCCCCATGCACACTCACCTCTCCACAAGGCTGCTTCTATTGGCCGATGGAAGCTCCCCGAAGGCAGAGTCACCAGTCGCTTCTATTGGCTGGTAGAAGTGGCGTTGTGGAGAGGTGAGTGCGCAGGGGGCGCTCTAGGTGGGGTGTGCGTGGGGGAGGAAATCTTTCAGCTGGTAGCACCCTCGCAGCGACCGCCTATACGTACTCCCCTCTCCACGAAGCCATTTCTATCAGCCGATGGAAGCTTCCCCAAAAGGCAGAGTCACCAGCCACTTCAGGGTGAGGCATTGCTGCCCGTGGAGTGCTCCTGACAGGAGCACCCCACATGCACTCCCCTCACCACGAAGCCGTTTCTATTGGCCGATAGCAGCTCCCCAAAGGTAGAGTCACCAGCTGCTTCTATCGGCCGGTAAAAGCGGCCTCAGGGTGAGTGCCCAACGCACACTCCCCTTGCCACAAAGCCACTTCTACCGGCTGATAGAAGTGGCTGGTGACTCTGCCTTTGGGGAGCTTCCATCGGCTGATAAAAACAGCTTTGTGGCAAGGGGAGTGCGTGTGGGTGCTCACCGTGAGGCTGCTTCTAAAAGCCGATAGAAGCGGCTGGTGACTCTGCCTTTGGGGAGCTTCCACCAGCCGATGGAAATGGCTTCATGGCAAGGGGAGTACACGTGGGCGCTCGCCCCGAGGCCGCTTCTACTGGCTGATAGAAGTGGCTGGTGATTCTGCCTTTGGGGAGCTTCTACTGGCCGATGTTCTATCGGTAGTAGATTGGGGTATTCTAGCCTAGGCTACCTGCAGGGCGCTCCTAAAGGCAAGTTTTCTCCCTCCCCTTCCCCCCCATTTCTCTTCATCTCATGTAGTTTTAATGAACGATGTGAGAAATGGCGGGGAAACGCATGGATTAAAAAGGCCTAAATTTTGGGGGCAGGGCTTAATTTCCCCTCATGCCTAGAAATCACGCTGGGCCTTCTTATTGGTGGTGGCCGTATTCTTGGAGAAATATGGTACAATATAACAATTTTAAAAATCTGTGGTAAAACTCTAATCCATACAATATAAACCCCAATGAAGAGATGAAACAAATAAAAAACATGAATATATTAATGACTTTTAGTAGCTTATTACTGATATTCTGCAGAAAGAATAATTCCCTTTTTTACTTCTTAACAAATATACTGCAAACTCTGGCCTTTCTTTCTGTATTTTAAGTAGTTAAACTTCTAGGCACTTTTAGAAACAAATAGAAAGGAATGTCCTAATCTAGTCTTAAACATTAATTCTCTGCTTAAAAGAAATATGGTATATATTATATAATATTATAACGCAGTGTTTCTTCATTATTATAATCTAAGACCAGTATAAAATAAATTTAAAACAACTAAAGTATAATGCAATGTACCCTTATTATCTGAAAATGGAGCATCAGAGAAAATAGCACTTAGCATAAAATCCCACTCAGTTTGTCCATTTACTGTGATGAGGATTCCCTACCCCAACCTTCTTCAAGTGGTTCATCAATAATGTGATTAGAATTAAGGTGCCGTGTTGAAGGAAATGCTAACTGGTGGGCATCTTTTTTTCTTATTTAGATCACAAAGGTTATTACTGAGGTGCTGTTATTACCATATTGTGCCAAAATTTAAAAAGGAGATTGGGGGTAGAATCTACCTTATCTGCTCCATAAATTTGCTAAATATGATTAGCAAACTTTATGCCTATACTTGAATAACTAATTACAAGATTGGCTACAGAAAGAAGCAATACAGATAGTCCTCAACTTATAATTATTTATTTAATGACTATTCAAAGTTACAATGGCAGTGAAAAAGGTTATTTATGACCATCTTTCACACTTATGACTGTTGCAGCAGTCCTATGGTCACATGATCAAAATTCAGACTCTTGGCAACTGACTCATATTTATGATTGCTGCAGTGTCCCAGGTCATGTGATCCTTTTTATGATTTTATGACAAGCAAAGTCAATGGTACTAACTTAACAACTGTAATGATTCACTTAACTGAAGCAAGAAAGATTGTAAAATGGGGCAAAATTCCTTTAACAAATATCTCGCTCAACAACAGAAATTTGAGGCTCAATTGTGGTTATAAATCGAGTACTATCTGTACTGGGCAATAAGCCAGCTGGTTTTCATCTCAATCATCCCAACATATAAATAACAAGAAAAAAATTAAGGAAACAGTTGGTCCACTAAAGAGAGAAGATGGCAAGGAAGTAACAGGCAACAGAGAGAAAGCAGAACTGCTTAACTCATTATTTGCATTGGTCTTCATGCAAAAAGGAACTATAGCCCAACCTACCAAAAACATAACTGTAAAAGACAGACTAAAAGCAAAAGTTAAAATAAGCAAAAAAAAAAAAAGTAAGAGAATACCTGTCTGATCTTGATGAATACAAATCAATGGGACCTGAAGAATTACATCCCAGAGTTCTAAAGGAGCTGGCAGATTTCATCTCCCAACCACTGTACCACATCTTTCAAAAATCCTGGAGCACCAGGGAACTACCAGAGGACTGGAAAAGAGTTGATGTGGTTCCCATCTTCCAAAAAGGAAAGAAAACAGACCCAGGAAACTACAGACCAATCAGCCTAACATCAATATCCAGGAAGATAC